TTTGCCTTTGCAAAGTTTAAGCCTGGAAGCCCCGGAAAAAAAAGGGGGATCGGCGGGGACTCACCTTCGGAGAGGTCTCACTCGAAGGTGATTTCGAACTCCCAGCCGAGGCCTTTGCAAAGTTCTTCTTTTCTTTCCTACCCCGAGAGCGCTCTGCACTGTTTTGCAGCTTTGGGGGCCTTGCGGCGCAGGGCAATACGCCACGCCCAGCAATTTTTTTTCAGGGGCGGGCCGGATTGGACACACCAACGGGCCGGATGTGGCCCACGGGCCGTAGTTTGCCCACCCCTGTACTAGATGTTCTGTTTTATATCTATCCTATATATACCCATGTGGAACAAATCTCCACCAGATTCAATGTGTCCCCTATCCATCATTTAACGAAAGCTGTAGTTCCTTGGAAACCCAAAAGACCAGTAGGGATGTCAGAAAATTGGCTTTAATGCCAATCAGAAAAATCAAGAGGCATATCCCAATTTTAATGCAGAATTATCCTCCTCACCTTTAATAGCTTTGAGGCTCCATCAAGTAACTGATGATAGGAAAAAAATCTACTCTGGCAAGAAAAAAAAATGACAAAAGTAAACAGTCCAGAATATAATTTGGATATCTAGATACACTTTGCTATTACCCCAAAGCAACTGATGGTTTGCTGCCACAAAGACATCTGTTTTTGGAAGAAGCCAGAGCTATCCAGGCAGCTATACCCACCTTCCACTCACATTGCATTTTAAGTCACTCTGACCCTGGATAAGCATTCCTCCAGTCTACTGGGAATGGAGGTTAGGACCAGGTTAGGGTAGCTTGAAGTATTTGATTCTTCCATAAGATGTAGTGATGCAGTGGTTACAATGCAGTACTGCAGTCTAACTCTGCCTACAGCTAGGAGTTTGATCCTGCCTGTCTCAAAGTTGACTCAGCCTTCCATCCTTCTGAGGTCAGTAAAATAAGGACCCAGATTGATGGGGGTAATATACTGACATGTGTAAACCACTCAGAGAATGTTATAAAGCACTATGGAGTGCTATATAAGTCTTATTGCTACTGCTAATACACAAAGAGTACAACAACAGAACTTTAACTTAATGAAATCACTACTTATGAAATACAGCTGATGTTGTATATAAAGCTTAGCTAATGTATGATAGTTCAAATATTAGTAATACAATTGTGATAAGGCAAAGGTAAATGTTCTGTCAACCTGGCAGTTTGAAAGCATGCGAACACAAGTAGATAAATAGGTAGCATTTTGGTGGGAAAATACCAGTCTTCCATGTGCTTCAGCATATAGTCATGCTGGCCAAATGACCATGGAAAGGTCTTTGGACCATGCTGGCTCCCTTGTCTAAGAAATGGAGATGAGAATCATCCTCTAGAGTTGGACATGACTGCACAGGGGAAATCTTTACCTTTTGAAAGAGCTAATTATGCATCTTTAACAGAGAGAATCTTCTTTGAATGAAGAAGTTGGACAAGATAACTTTCATCCTTCCAATCCTTCATCCTTTACCTCAGTGGTGGGATTCAACATTTTTTACAACTGGTTCTGTTGTATTCACTGACTGACGACAGTTCCCTATCTGCTCCGCGTTTCTGGTGGGAGCGCCAATCGCTCCCATTGGTTGATGCCGTTTGACAGCCGGCTATAAAAGGAGCTGTCAAACGGCATCAGCTGTTGCTGCCAGCAGATCTGCCTGTTAGCCCCGGCAGCCGCGGCAACCCTTTATTCTCAGAATAAAGCCCTTTGCTGTTAGCTCTGTGTCTGCCTCATATCTACCGCCGCTCTACAACACCGGCGACGAGGGCGGGATACAATAAGAGGCGACCAGACATAAAACAGCTGAGCTCAGTCACTACAAAAAGAGCCGGAGCCACTGAGAGCTGATTAGTCGCAGCCGCAGACGCTCTCTGCGAGCGCGAAGTTTAAAGCCTCCACAACTGAAGAGACAGACACCGCCTGGCAGGCGCAGCTGCAATCGCTCTTTTGAGAGCGCGAAGTTTAAACCTCCCCAGCTGAGGAGATAGACGCTGCCGCCACACGATGACTTCTAATCCAGAATTCCCACCCTTCAAGCCGACAGCCGAGACATGGGAATCGTATAAAAATCGCTTCTTCTGCTTCCTGGACGTGATAGACCTCACAGATGCCACCGACCATAGGAAGAAATCCTATTTCCTAAGCTTCTGCGGAGCCTGGGTTTTTGACACAGCCACGGCGCTGGTCACCCCGCGTTCTGTTAGGACTGTCCCCTGGGAGGAGTTACAGGAGATCCTCTCCAGTCACTACTCCCCTAAGCCATCCCAAATTGCTAGGAGGCATGCTTTCAGGAGGAGAATGCAGTCTGAGGGGGAGTCAGTTAGTGAGTATGTAGCAGCCTTACGATCAGCTGCCCTACAATGTGGCTTCAGGGATTACCTAGAAGATATGCTCCTAGATTAAATTGTCTGTGGGGTCAAGGACCTGAGACTTCAAAGATGTTTGCTAGCTAAAAAAGACTTGACCCTAGCTATAACCATAGAGGAATCACAAGCTGCTGAGCTATCTGCTCTGTCAGCAGCTGAAATACAAGGGAACCCCATTAGACAAGGCAGCTCAACTATTCATTTTGAGGAAGTCTCCCTAGATGAGAATTCTGAGGACCCAATTGAGGTAAACTGCCTCAGACAACAGAAGCCCCCTCTAGAAGGACCAAGACAAAAAACCAACCTTACCCCCAGGCAGCAACCCATCTGCCTAAGCTGTGGAGGAACACATCTCAGGGCATCCTGCAGGTTCAGGAATGCAATTTGCCTGAACTGTCAAAAAAAAAGGCCACCTAGTTAGAGTCTGCCAAGCAGGGAGAACCTTTCCACAAAGACCTCAGCCCACTCCTATTTTCCAAATGCAAGTTGAGGACTGCTATACCTGCTACCACTCAGATCATACTACAACAGGCTCTAATAAAATAAGTATCTTTGTTTTTTTAGAAGGTAAGCCCTGCAGGATGGAGGTTGACACGGGCTCTGCACTTTCCATCATCTCCTGGGAAACTCTAAAAAAGATGCATCCAAGAATGTCCAAAAAGAAGCTCCTGAGCTGCCACCTGACTCTGCGTGATTACCAAGGCAGGACCATCCCTGTCCTCGGGAAAGGCAAGTTTTTAATCCAATTCCAAAACTTCAAAGGCCACTTGCCTTTAGTAGTGGTAGATGGTGCCCTCCCTAGTTTACTAGGATTAGACTGGTTCCCTGCTCTTGGTCTCAGCATAACCGGTATCCATGCTGTTTCAACCTCTGAAGTAGACACCCTATTCAGAGACTATTCTGATGTATTCAGCGAAGATTTAGGGTGTTACTCTGGTACCCCTATTTCATTCAATATAGACCCACAGGCAACTCCCATCCACCTGAAACCACGTAGGGTACCCTTTGCTATCCGCCCCAAATTAGATAGGGAGCTAGATAAATTACTAAAGCAAGGGGTATTAGAACCAGTAGACTTTGAGAAATGGGAGACCCCCATAGTCACCCCACTTAAGAAAGATGGCAGCGTGAGAATCTGCGCTGACTACAAGACTTCCCTGAATAGGTTCCTACAAATCAGCGCCTACCCTGTCCCTGTCATCCAATATCTCTTACACACCTTTGAGCCTGGGACAATTTTTGCAAAATTAGATATGTCCCAGGCCTACCAACAGTTCCCTGTAGATGACCAAACTGCAGAATTACAAACCATAGTCACCCATAGGGGTGCATTTAAGTGCAAGTGCCTCCAGTTTGGCGTAAGTGTAGCCCCTGGGATTTTTCAATCCCTAATGGAGAGGCTTCTCCAAGGACTCCCAGGTGTAGTCCCCTATTTTGATGACATTTTGGTTTCAGCTTTGGATAAAACACAACTAATACATAGAGTCAGAGCAGTCCTTGAGCGTTTTAGACAGCATGGCCTTAAACTTAAAAGGGACAAGTGCACCATCGCCACTAAGCAAGTGGACTTTCTAGGTTATAGAATTGATGCCTCTGGTATACACCCAATTGAGTCCAAAGTCAGGGCTATCCACGAGGCACCCACACCTTCCAACAAGACCGAGCTTCAAGCCTTCTTGGGGCTTCTAAATTTCTACGCTGCATTCCTCCCACACAAAGCCTCCATAGCAGAACCTCTGCACAGACTTTTGGACAAACAATCCCCCTGGCATTGGGGACCAAGGGAAGCCCATGCCTTCCAATCCGTCAAGTCCTTGCTCACATCCAATTCAGTATTAATTCAATTCAATCAGCAGCTACCTTTAGTCCTGGCTGCAGATGTTTCCCCCTTTGGCGTAGGGGCTGTTCTGAGCCACAGGCTCCCCAATGGCTCTGAGGCACCAATTGCCTTTTTTTCAAGGACCTTCTCTGCAGCAGAACAAAACTACAGCCAAATCGACAAAGAGGCTTTGGCTGCAGTTGCTGCTGTTAAAAAAATTCTTGAATTTCTTTTTGGGCACCATTTCAAGCTAATAACTGATCACAAGCCACTGTTAGGCCTCTTGTCTGGGGACAAACAAACCCCACAGGTTCTATCCCCAAGGATGACTAGATGGACCCTCTTCCTGGCTGCTTATTCTTACATGCTGATTCATCGCCTGGGGAAGAACCTATGCCACGCAGATGCCCTCAGTCGATGCCCTCTGCCTGTTCCGGTTGAAGATCCTGCACCCATCCACGCTATCTTCGAGGTCAACGATCTCAACCTGCCCATTACTGCCCATGACATTGCTGCTCACTCCTCAAGGGACAAGGTAATCGCCCAAGTCCTGGACTGAGTGGGAAGGGGGTGGCCAGCAATTCATTACACCCCTGAATTCCTGCCTTTCAAGACTTGCCAGCAGAAGCTGTCATCCCTACAGGGTTGTTTGCTGTGGGGGACAAGGGTTGTCATCCCTGCTAAACTACAAGGGCCAGTCTTAAAGGTCCTGCACGAGGGCCACCCTGGCATCGTCAGGATGAAGGCCCTGGCCCGCAGCTACGTGTGGTGGCCAGGCATGGATGCCCAGATCTCCAGCTGGGTAAGCACGTGCCAACCATGCCAAGCTACCAGGCCAGCTCTACCATCATCCACTCCTACCAGGTGGGAAGATGCTGGGGCCCCTTGGTCCCGGCTGCACATTGATCTGGCAGGCCCTGTGCACGGGCGAACTTTCCTAGTCATTGTGGACTCATTCTCAAAGTGGATAGACTTAGCCCTGCTGCCCTCCACAACCACTCTGGCTATCACAAAGGCTCTAACTAGATTATTTGTCACCCATGGCCTCCCAGACACCCTTGTATCCGACAATGGCCCCCAGTTCACCTCGTGTGAATTTGAGATCTTTGCAGCCAACCTGGGCATCAGGCACGCCCTCACAGCCCCTTTTCACCCTGCTAGCAACGGGATGGCTGAAAGGGCAGTCAGGTCAGTAAAGGAGGCCCTGGAGAGGTTTGGCCCAATTGACTGGCACTCCAAACTTTCCAGGTACCTACTGACCCAGCACTCAACCCCCTGTACCACCACCAATAAGTCCCCTGCAGAGCTCCTAATGGGCAGACGCCTTAGAACCACCCTGGATAGGCTGCACCCCCATTACACCCCAGTTTCCCCTTTGGCATCTGACAGCCAGACCAGGGAGTTCACCCAGCATGACCTTGTCTATGCAAGGAATTACTCTGGCCATCCATTATGGGTGCCAGGGCAAGTCGTGGCTATAACAGGACCTAAGTCCTACAGGGTGCTCCTGGACGACGGTCGTATCTGGCGCTGGCACATCGACCAGCTGAGGAGGCATTGGAGAGTGGCTGACGGCGATCCACGCTGCCCGCCAAGCGAACCGGTCTACCTGCTGAGTGCCGAGACCTTCCCGCTGAGCGAACCGGTCTACCCGCCGAGAGACGAGACCATCCCGCCGAGCGAACCGGTCTACCCGCCGTGGCGAGCTGAGTGAAGGAGCCTACCTGGACTGTCGCCTGACCCTCTGGCAGAGGCGCTTGTTGACGGAACTCTGACTCCTGCAGGCTCCAGCGTGACCCAAAAGAAGGACTCGTTCCTGGCTGAAAATCCACCCGGGCTAAGACGATCCAGCCGCCAGCGCAGGCGGCCGGCCTACCTAAACAACTACGCATGCTCCTGGCCTTGGGAAAGGAGTGTTGTATTCACTGACTGATGACAGTTCCCTATCTGCTCCGTGTTTCTGGCGGGAGTGCCAATCGCTCCCATTGGTTGATGCCGTTTGACAGCTGGCTATAAAAGGAGCTGTCAAACAGCATCAGCTGTTGCCGCCAGCTGATCTGCCTGTTAGCCCCGGCAGCCGCAGCAACCCTTTATTCTCAGAATAAAGCCCTTTGCTGTTAGCTCTGTGTCTGCCTCGTATCTACCACCGCTCTACAACAGGTTCTGTGGGCATGGCTTGGTGAGTGTGGCAGAGGAAGGATACTGTAAAATCTCCAGTCAGGAGTGGTATTTTCTGGTTCTCTGAACTACTCAAAATTTCCGCTACTGGTTCTCCAGAACTGGTCAGAACCTGCTGAATACCACCTCTGCTTTACCTTGTCTGTAACAGACATGGAATAAACTGCCAGGGTGGTGTATGGTTACAGTTAATGTACAGATCCAGGTTTGTATGTCATGTGGGTACAAAGTTCTCTGAGTTACTTTTAGTTTGATCGCTGCCTCATAGACTGTCCTACTTCACAAAGTTATAGTAAAAATAAGTAGAAAGGATCGGGTGTGCTGCCTAGAGTGATTTGAAACAAACATTAACTCAGCAAGTAATAAAGTAAGATTACCCAGCTAGTACAGTGATTGTTGAAGGTTCATTTTATGCAAATGCAGACCTTATAAAAATAGATTTTAGTGACATAGAAATCTAATAGAGCAAGATAAGATATGCTTATCTGTTTTGTAAATTTACACAACCTATCAGTCAGTTCCTTGCCAATTTCAGTACTATATGGGGAAAGGTTCCCTCTGCTGACCAATTGAAATAGTGTATTGTGTTCCATTCTTTTTGCAAAATATAAAAATATTTGGGTACCTCAGAAGTATTTTTGCTCTATTCCTATGGGCTAAAGGATTATTTAGTTCTAAAGCCTGGAAGTGCATTTTATTAGTCTTGCTTCCTCCTGCAATTTTTTTATCATTCCAGAACAGAATCCATTCTTGACTTGCTGATGCAAATATAGTTGAGATCAAAGGATTTAATATCATTTTTCTCCTCTTTGTCTTTTTGCAGATTGAAAGACCATCCATTGTAAAACCCATTTGTGCAAAACTGAGTCTTTGGATCTGACCAGGTATTTATCCCTCCCCCTTTCCTCCCTTGTAATTCATCTTTAGCAGCGGGAGGCCAAATCCAGGGTTTCCCCATCACAGTGGCCTTATCTTGCCAGAAGCCCAAATTTAAATAGCATTATGTCTCCCCTCCAGTAAAATCTACTCCCACCTACATGCTGTTGGAGCAAGAGTGCCTCTAAGACTTCACTGTAATCTTTATCCTGTGATCCAGAGATTTCCTCCATCTCAATCTGGCAAAATATACTAGGATAAGTTTTGTTTTGTTTTAATTCAGGATGCTGTCAATTGAATTGTTGTTGTAATCTCTTGTTCTTTCTTTTTTACTTTCTTCTTGGGCCTACAACAAACAGTCTTTTTTAAAAAAAAAAAACCTGGTCATTTGAATAGTTGATTTAAAAGTGATTTTATAAATTTCTCCATCAGAAATTGCTAATTCAGCCTGTATTTCCTATCTCTCTCTATAAAACCTTGTCCACAACAGAAGGATCCCTCTGCACAGACACTCAGACGTACTCCAATAGTAGCCTGGTAAAATTTATTTATTATATAATCCACTTGAAACCTAATTTGTCACCAGAAAAGATAGACTGCAAAGCCAACACATGGCTACAGATGGATACCAGGAAGAACCAGGGTGTTTTCTACTTTCACTGATATATGGATCAAGCCCCATAAAATTAACCTGATTTACAATGTCCAACCAGCTCATTTAAATGTCTTGGGTCTACTGTTATGTCCCACCTGTATCCACAGGTGAGAATCTCAAGTTCTGGCAAAATGTCCCAGCCCCCCACAATAAAGGCACAAACCTCCCTGGAACCTTCGCGAGCGTTCCTGCGCCATCAACCGCGGGCGGAGTACACCCAACTCCATCGGCTCCTTGGTCCTGGGCACTGTATTGCAGGATACCAAGGGCGCGGGTTGTACTGGAATTTGCAGCCGTGAGTGAGAGGGCGGTTCCGGAACTGGTTGTTTGCTCTTGCGTTGATGAAGCCGGGCATCAATATGTAGACATTGTATGACCAACGCATCCAGGGTTAGAGCCCGCTCTGCATGCACCAGCTCATCCTGGATGTCATCAGCCAAGCCCTCCTGAAAGGCATCCATATGGGCTGACTCATTCCAAGTAGAGTCCATGCAGAGCAGACGAAACTCCGCAATGAATTCTTGCAAAGGACGTTTCCCCTGACGAATGTCCTTCAATCGTCTGGCCACAGTTTGGCTCTTAATGGGATTCTCAAACATGACACGTAATTGCTGCTGGAAACCCTGGTAGTCATTTAATAAAGGGCTATTTTGTACCAGCAGAGGAGTAGCCCATCTACCAGCCTGACCTGATAAGAGGCTAATAACAAACCCCACCCTAGCCCGGTTGTCAGGAAGGTCTTCAGGCCGTAAGGGCATGAATAATTGGCATTGTCCCATAAACGCTGAGAACATATCACTCTGTCCCGATAATTTATCCGGCACAGATACCGGGCTTTTCCTAAGAGGAGGAGCTGGGGGAGCAACTGGAGCCTGTAATTGCATTACATGATTAACCAATTGAGTTACCTGATGTTGAAGTACTTGGTTATTCTGTAACAGTTGGTCTATTTGTTGTTGCTGCTGCTCTACCAGTTGCTTTAGTTGTGTTGGGTCCATCTTGGTTAAGATGGAATTGAGGCTCGAAGCAAAAATGTTATGTCCCACCTGTATCCACAGGTGAGAATCTCAAGTTCCAGAGTTCAAATACTTTACGCAAACAAAACCAGAGACAGAAGAATTAATTGCTCTGTTTGCACAGTCCTTTGGCAATCCTCCTAGAATCTGTCTGGCAATTCTGTATAGTCCATAAATCACAACGCTGTAGTCAGACGCACTTCTTTCCAAAGCAAAATCCAGTTTGCTTCGAGCGGGGGAGAGGCGTTAGCACGCTCCTTATATATCCCCTGAAGGGGCGTGTCAGTCTCATTAATTAATCCTTGGCTGGACGTCTCTTTTCTAATTGAGATTGACGTCTCAATCTTCTCCTAGTCCTAGCATCCAGCCAGCATCCGGCAGTTTCATCACCGCTTGAAGCCTCTGACACACTTTCCTGATTAACAGTTAACACCTGAGGTGCAATCAGGGAGGGAGTTCCAGAAGAGGAAGACGTCTCTGAAACTTCTAATAAATCAGGCTCATCTCTCAGATTCAACTCCTCCTCCTCCCCCAGACTCCTCTCAACGTCGCTCAGCAATGCAGGCTCGAATCTCAATGCCAGATCTTCCTCCTCACTCGAGCCTACATCTGCCGACTGACCTGGTTCAAACCTCGGAGGCACAACACTGTCCCTCACCGCAGGGCCCTTCCCCCGACTCTGACGAGCCGGATGCAGTTTCGATGGGAAGTGTTCATGGAACCTCCGGATAAGGTCCGGAGCACAAACCATGGAATCATCCACCCAAGAGAGAACCTCCGATCCATTCACCAGCCGCCCGACAAAGTATTGAAATCTCCCCTTCAGCCAACGAGAATCCTGAACGCTGACAACCGTGTCATCAGCGGCGGTCTCATCGCTGGGTACCGATGGAGAAGCTGTACCTTCAGGAGAACGGAGTGTACACGATGGGGAGTCAGTAACCAGAAGGGAACGGTGGAAGACAGGATGAATGCGCATGGAGCGCGGCAGGGTGTGTCGATATGCGACGGGATTGATGACCACCTCAATAGGGAATGGACCAATGAAGTGGTGGTCCAACTTCTTAATCGGGCGATCGACCCGAAGGTGCTTTGTGGATAACCACACCTTGTCACCTACTAAGACCTGAACTGATTGACATTACTTTACCATTGTTGAGGTAATTCCCTGTTAGGAGAATGAGCGCACGCAGGGAGATGTAGTGAGAGTGTTGAAGAATAACACACAACCAGCACACAGATACACTGTATAGTAAAATGTAGGTTTTTACTTCCAGTAAAACGGTTAAGCAAAGTTCAACGAACAGTCCAAGTCATTCATGGTTAAAGCCGCCAGTTTTCAGTCCAGGGATAATCCAAATCAAAGTCCACTATCAAAAACAGTTCAGTAATAGACTCACATCAAATCCAAGAATAACAATGATCAGTAACAGTCAATAGGGAAATGCAGGAACAACACTCTCAGCAACAGCAGAACAACCCAGGTTTCTGGCTCCATCTTATGGCCGTTTGAGGAACCACACCCAATTACCACTTTAGCATTCCCTTAAAGAGACAGTATTAAAATGTCTATCCTGGTTTATATATTTTCCAACCCAACTGTTAGGTGACTTACATTCCTAACAACCATCTTTCTTCCATTATTAAACTTGCAATCAAGGAGGGAGGGGGTTGGCTAGGAGGAAAACTCTTTCCTCAGATCCTCATAGTTGATCTACAACACTTACTAAGAATTCTAGCCAGGTACAACGACAATGAAATCCAAAAAGAGAAGAGGAAGGGAAATCCATGTGGAATAGATGTCTCCTTTGCCCTAATATCCCATGTGTCCTTCAAGCCCAAGATGATACTTGGTGCCTACACGAGCAAATCCAGGTGGTTTTCTCAGCAATCATGTAGAACTGATTGGATGTTTCTTGTCCTATGACATTTCTTTAACTGCCGCATATACTCTTTCAAGCAATCTTCCATAAAAATTCTATTCAGTCT